GGAGGCCACCCTGAGGCCACTGGGTCCAGGTGCTTTGACAGGTAAGCCACTGGCCACTGCCATGGACCCACTGTTTGGGTGAGGACCCCTAGTGCTGTGTGATTCTTCTCACAGATGAAGAGATTGAATGGTTACGCTACATCCGGTAGCCTTAGCACAGGGGCACTGGTAACAGTCTCTTTATCTCCTGGAAGGCACTTTCTTGGTCTGGACCCCAGAATAGAGGGTCCTTTCCGGAGCCTGCTGTGGCCTCGTAAAGTGGTTTGGCTGGCTTGAATACCTGGGTATCCAGATGCAACAGAATCTTGCCGCTCCCAAGAACTCAGACCTTCCCTTTGGTCTTTAGCTGTGGAATGGAGCAGATGGCCTGTTTCCTCTCTGGACCTAGGGTGTGTTATCCTCCTGAAATGATGAACTCAAGGTACTGGACCTCTTGCTGGCAAACTTGAGCCTGTTTCCAGGAAACTTTGTAGCCTGCTCAGAGAGTCAGGCTATTGATGCCTTCATCCCCTCCCAGCATTTCTCCTGATTGTGGCTTATCAGGAACAGATCATCCATGTATTGGGGGCAAGGTACCACTTGAGTTTTCTTCCAGGAAAGTCAACAAATCTGCTGCTAGGGCTTCCCTGAACAAGGTGGGTGAATTTTTGAATCCCTGAGGCAGCCGGCTCTAGGCATTTGTGTCTTTCTTCCAGTATGGGGGGGGGGGTCTTCCCATTCAAAGGCAAATAGAGGCTGACTAACCTGGGCCAGGCGGAGGCAGAAGAAAACATCCTTTAGGTCCAGGCAGGTGAACCAGCTTGCTTGTGGCAGTAGAAAGCTCAGGTGAGTGTAGGGGTTAGGAAGTACTGGGTTGCACGTTGCATCATGTGATAATGGTGTTCTTCACTGCCTGTAGGTCCTGGGCAGGCCAGTAGTCATTTCCTCCTGCCTTCTTGACTGGTAATAGCGGGGTATTCCATGGTGACTGACATTTGATCAATATCCCTGTGTCCTTCAGCCACTGTAGGTGGGCCTGAATTCCCAGGCATGACTCCTGTGGCACTGTATATTGCCTGTGTCTAACAGGGAGCGCCCCAGACTTGAGATCTACCATTATGGACACATGGCTGTGACCCAGGCCAGGGGTGGGGACCCTTTTTCAGCCCAGACATCAGGAAACTCCTCCAGCAGGCAGGTGGGCTTCATTTGATCCCCCTTTTCCTGGCAGTAGAGCTGCCATTCATCTTCTGTAGGCACAGTCACTGCCATGATGAAGGCATTTGGTCCTCTTACTGAAAGGTTGTGGGCCTTCCCTGGATGAAGGTGATTTTGGCTTTCTGCTTTGTGCTCTGTAAGTAAGTCCCTTCCCAGCAGAGGAACTGGGCATTCTGGCAGGTACAGGAATTCATGAGTCACAGTGTGCCCTCCTAGCTGATGTGTCCGTGGTCAGCAGAACTGCTGGGCTGTTTGAGTGCTGGTGGTTCCGACTATTGTGGTCCTACACTCAGTGAGTGGAGCCACAGTTTTAGTGACCACACAATACTCAGCACCTGTGTCCACCATGAAAATCATTGGTTGCCCCCCCAACTTTCATTTTTACCATCGGCTCTCAGGGACCTAGTAGTAAGGAGCCAGACTTCCCTAGTCTGACTCAATTCCTACTTTGGCCAACGAGGTTCTGGGCCTTTGGTTTGGGTTGCCATCCTGTCTTTCCTGGAGCAGTCTTGTTAGGCTGTGATGTGGGTCCCCTGCAGCAGGGGCATTTCATTCTTCCAGTGGCCAATCTCCTTGCAATAGGCACATTGGTCTCGTCAAAGTGGGGCTCTTCTGTTGGGTTTCCCTTTCCGCAGTGGAGCTGACTGCTTGGTCAGGTTTGGCTTTCCCAGTGCTGCAGCCAAAATGGACATCTTGGTTTTCATTTTTTTATTGGCCTCTCATTTTGCCTCATGGTCTTAATTTACAAAGACCTTGTTTGCCACTTCTAACAGCTGGGTGGCATTCATTCCAGTGAAGCCTTCAAGTTTCTGAAGTTTCTGGTGAATGTCAGCGTACGACTGGGCCACAAATGGTGTATGGACCATCCACTGGTTTTCTGGCGCTTCTGGATCAAAGGCCTCATAAAAATCAGTTGGTGATTCCTCTGGTTTCTGGATAACTGCCGCAATTTTGGACACGTTTGTTGGCTTCTTAGCTCCAGTCCTGAGCCAATGCAGGAGGGCAGCACAATATTGGGTGAGCACTCCTCATCCTTCTGCTGTATTGAATTCCCAGGTAGGCCAAGCATTGGGGGCCACCTCTCTTGCCCAAGCTTCTGTGTCCAGGGTTCCTGCTAGGGCCTGCTCTTGGAGCCAGCAGTGAGCCTCTATCAGAATTTGACGTAGCTCTTCTGTGTTGAAAAATGTCAGGGGGATCTGACAGCAGTCATCCTAAGTAGGTTGATGGGTCTGAAATATGGGTTCTAGGAAGCCGATCATGGCCTGGGGTTTTTCTGAACAAGGCCGTGTGTGGTTCCTTCAGTTTAAGAGGTCAGTTGTACTGAAAGGCTGGTAATAGAGGATAGAGCTTCTGGGCTGGACTGTGCCATCAGCACCAATCTGTTGGGGCCCTTGCATATCACAGAGCAGCATTTGGAGGGCCCTGGCTTGAGGGGCCAGCACCTGGAATGAGCAAAGGCAGTGGCTCAGGGGCTGTGGACTTGGGACTCCAGGCCGTGGATGGGTGTGAGATATCGTTAGGTTGGGAGGTTGCTGATGGGGCTGAGGGGGACTCACTGAAGGTGGTGGACTGTCTGGGATAGGTGACACTGGCTGCTCTGATAGTTGCAGGGCACTGGGAACATATGGCGGGGGCACAGGTGGTTCATCTTCTGGATCCCCTTGCAGAACAGGCTTGGTCGGCTTTTGGTCTTTGGGCCTCATTACCTGGGCTCAAAAACTCTGCACTGTCCCTTTTTGTTGGCACAGAATTGGGCCCAAGGGGGCATGGTCTGAGCCATCTGAAGCCAGGAGTCAATATAGGGGAACCGATCTGGGGGTTCCTATTATGACCTGATAAAGGGCCCTGACAGTGGGCAATTCTAGGGTACCTTCAGGGGGCCCGATGATCCCAAAAGTGGTCCACTCCAACTCACGGTGTGCACAGCTTTCTGGGAGACATTTTTATCCCATAATCTCCCGAGAATCCCTTCTTAAAATGTTTAAGCATATAATCTAGGAACGAGGGCTTGAGGAACTTCTGCCCATGGCAGTTACAGGTGTTCTCTATACTCACTGTATGTATTCCCCACTGCATAGGTGGCACAAAAACAAACAAGGGTGGATGCCCCTTCAAGAGAAGAAACCAATCAGATGTCTGCCTGGCCATGTCCTGAAGGAACTTAGGTACCTCTTAACATCAACGGCAGGGTCAGCCTTGTGACTCTGGATTGGGTTGCTCCAATGCCACCCTAAGCCATATGAGGATCACCACAGAACTGAAGGACAGACCCACTTGGACTCTGTAGCCTTTTGGCCATGGAGCCACAAACTCAAGCCTGAAGCAAGGAGAAATCAGGCCACTCATTCACACACACATTCACACCAGAAGTTATTACAGTTTTCCCTCCTCCCTTTTGGGAAATCCCTGACCTGCAGAACTCCTCTCAGAGGTTCCCAGGAGTTGATCAGACTCCCATTCTGCCCAGTGGGATGGGACCTGCCTGAGGGCTGACTTTCCCCCCGGGGGCTTATCGATCTGGACGAAATTGCTAGGCGAGTTGATCCACTTCTCCTTGGAGTCCAGTTGGGGCACGACTACTCAGAGGGTTGGAACTCTGGGGCAAAGGAGGACCAGGAATATTGTTGGGTGTCTCTCCCTACTCCTGTGCAGCCCAGCCACCAGTAGGTGGCTCAAATGGCCAGAACAGTTGGAGTCTCACTGTGGCCTCCAGAAATGTGGAAATATTGTCTGATGAGAAACCAAGTGACACTCAGAGAAGGAGAACTCAGATTTTATTTGACACCAGTGGTCCCAGATGAGCTCACACTCAAAATTCTGGGCCCTGAGGAGTGAAATTATAGGATTCTTATAAGGCAGTGAATCAGGTTACAGTGAATGTGCTGGTTGCTAATAGGTGGGCTCACATTAGGGGCTAGGGATCTGGGCTGTTTAGGTGGGAGCAGTGTTTCAGGTACTCTGTTTACACAAAGAGACAAAGAAAAGCAGGAATGGGTGGTTATCTCTGGGTGGGACCTTTTATCTTGGCCCTGGACCCATTTTATGGTTTATCTAGCAACTTCTAGTGTCCTTATAACCTGCTTTGGGAGTGATCTTCCTGTTCATTTGAACTAATAAAAATTCGCATGCAACCTTGTTAGAATGTTTTAGTCAGCACCATGAACACTAAACTACAGAGGGCTGAAGACGCTGTGTCTACAGTGAGGTCAAGAAGTAGATGCACCCTCAGAAATTCTACATCAGTGAGCCTTCTCGCGGACAAAGATGCCCGGCCCCAGCCAGGCAGACACCGAACTGGACACCTGACCGCCCGCGCCCAGGGCGGGGACGCGGGCTCCGCCGGGTCCCCAGGGCACTGGGGTTGAGCACGCTGGGCAGAGCCTGCAGCATTAGCCCAGCCGCAAGCCCTTCTACGCCCCGGGACGCCGGTAACTCGGCCCCAGGCCGGACTTTACGGTTCCTTTAATAAAAGCGCTAACAGGAATCCTAGCTGCACGTGGGCTCTAAGAATGTAGGAGGCTGCCGCATGCGTCCGAGCTCCCACCTTCTTTACCCCGGTTACTCGGGGACAGAGGCGAGGCCGGGCTGGGTCGGGTCAGGACATCGCGAGCCGAAGCCAAATATGCGGCGGCCGGCCTCCAGCGGGACACGCCGGAAGGGCACAGCGGAAGGCCGACAGGATGGCGGCAGAGTCTAAATCTGTGGCGCGCAGGGGGCGGGGCGAGCGGGGCCTCCCGGCATGCCGCGCGGCGCTCGGCTTCCGGCTGTGGGTGTTGCCGGAGGGGAGGGGGTCGTTGTCGGCCGGAAGCGCGTTGGGCTGGTCTCGCTGAGCGCCGCCTGCGTTTCCGGGGGGCCTTGAGCTTGGCGCTTGAGTTTTTCGGTAGGCGGCGCGGGAGGAAAAGAAGTTTTGAGGGGCCGGACCGGGCGTATCCCCTCCTCTTCCCAATGTGAGCCTTTTTTCCGGACCCTTGTCAGGCCAAGGCTGTCCCGAGAGGTGGAGCCGGTGGCCGCGCCGGGAACATGAGGCAGTGTCTCTTTCTGACCAGTTTGGTTTTTTCCGTGCTGGCGCCTCGACCTCCGGATGCTCCGGGCTTCGGCTCCCCGCAGCGACTTGGTAAAGACCGGGGAGCGAGTTGGCTTAGGCTGGCGCCCGGAGCGCGCTGCTTGGAGGGACAAGCGGGGAAGCTGGTTCTATCAGGTGTTTGGGGGCGGGGTGTTGGGCGACGGTGGCGCGTCCCGAAGTTTTCCGTGTTGGAAGGGGGTGTGGCTCTTTGCGTTCCGGGAAAGAAAGGAGACTGGTTTGTCCGAGTGGGAAAGAGCGTACTGAGGGGTCTCCTGTAAGGGCTGAGGGGTCTGTCCCCTGGATTTGTGTTGCTGGAATGTGTTTGGAAAAGAGGTAAAGGGGAGGTGGGTGGCTTGTGTTTGGAGAGGGAGATGTGGTCTGTGCCTTGCTAAGACATAAATCTAGTGTGTGGTCCTACCGAAGGCAGGACTTGGGAAGGAGGAAAGGACGGGCCCCGAAGCTCCAGTTCTTCCTGGCTCTCTGAGGAGCGCACTAGAATTTCTGCTGTAGGAGGTACTTATGCAGTAATCTGGGTGGAAGGCGTCGACTAGGGTTGTTTCATTTGCATTTTTCTACTGGATTTGGAGTCGTGGAGTTGGGTTTTGCGATCACCCTAAGCACTTTCTTACTTCTTTAAGGTTGTAGCTCAGTAGAGGTGATTGGTGATAAAGAGAGGCTAAAACTTGTCAAGCCAACGCGTGAGGCTGCCCCTGTGAATGCTTTCCTTGCAGTTTTAAACGAAGTTATCAGGGATGACCAGCTTTATCAGTGTTGAGCCTAGAAGTAGAGATTTAATTTAGATTTTCTAGAGCGCTTGGACTTTTAAAGGATGGGCATGTGAAGTTTGGTGGAAATTAGTAAGAGTTTGTAGTGTATGTTACCATCCTTTGTCTTTCAATGTAAAACAGTTTGGCTAATTAATAACAGTGTGTGAAGTTGTCTTGTCATTCTTTATGGTTACATTGGTCCCCAGATACCATCATGGTTCCATGTAAAGTGTAGTACTGCTGTGTAGATTTGAGTCCCTGTAAATTCTCTGTATGGGTAATTAAAAATTTGTTTTGCATTACTTTGTTACCTGAATTTTTTTCTTATTTATTGAACATAAGTTGTAATTGACTGATAGTGATACTGTTGAATGTTCTCACTTGAATAATTGTCTCATTTTGAAGTGGATCACAAGTGACTAGTTTTAAGGAAAGGCAAAGGAGCTAGTTAGGAAGTACTGAGATGTGATAAATCCATACACTTTGAAGGAATAATAAGTATGAGTGGTCAGGATGGATAACAAGGCTCTGCTTCCTTTTAAGGATAAATGTTAATAAAACGGGTCAATATGTATTTTGAGATACTAAAACTATATTTTCACCACTTTGACGTAGCTGTTTTATTTGTCATTCTCTGGTTCACTGGTGAGAAAATAAACATGAATCCTAGGGAAGCATATACTGTAGAGGCAAAAACATTATTTCTAGGTTGATTCTCAGCAACATTTTCAGATCATAAGGTTTTTTGATCATGTTATTTTTTTTTTAATTAGCAAAGCACAGACCATCTGTGCCAGAAAAATGTATACACACCCATTTATTCATCAAATATTTGAAGAACTCGTCTTCCAGTTGTGCATTGCATTGGAAATACAAAGACTAGATGACACCCTTCTTTTTTTTTTTTAATTATTCATATGTGCATACAATGCTTGGGTTATTTCTCCCCCTGCCTCCACCCCCTCCCTTACCACCCACTCCACCCCCTCCCTCTCCCCCCCCACCCCCTCAATACCCAGCAGAAACTATTTTGCCCTTATCTAATTTTGTTGAAGAGAGAGTATAAGCAATAATAGGAAGGAACAAGGGTTTTTGCTAGTTGAGATAAGGATAGCTATACAGGGCATTGACTCACATTGATTTCCTGTGCGTGTGTGTTACCTTCTAGGTTAATTCTTTTTGTTCTAACCTTTTCTCTAGTTCCTGGTCCCCTTCTCCTGTTGGCCTCAGTTGCTGATGACACCCTTCTTTAAAAGCTTCTGACGTGGGATTAGGCACTTTTTTTTGGGGGTGGGATTGGTGTTTGAACTCAAAGCTTTGAGCTTGCAAAGCAGACCCTCTACCACACCTCCAGTCTATTTTGTTTTGGTTATTTTGGAGATAGGGTCTCTTGAATTGTTTGCAGGATTGACCTCCATCCTCGATCCTCTCAATCTTAGCCTCCCAAGTAATTAGGATTTCAGGTGTTAGCCCTGGCTTCTGGCTTAAACAGACACTTCTAAAACAACATGGAGGAGAGCACTAGGACACATTATGGCAAGTATTATCATGAAAGTGAGTACTGAATGTATAGTCTAAGAACATAATGAAGGTGATACTTGAGCCCAGTCTTTAAGACTAGTTAGGTGGAGAAGGAAGATAAGTCATTCCAGATGGCAGAATGGAGAGATGGTTAGGACTTAGAGACTGAAATGAACCTTACAATTTTTTGTTTGTTTTTTTGGTGGTACTGGAGTTGAACCCAGAGCCTTGTACATGATAGGCAAATGCTCCACCACTGAGCTACATCTACAACCCTAGTTTTTAAAAATTCATTTTATTTTAATTTTTTTGGCAGTACTGGGGTTTGAAGGCAAGGCCTCGTGCTTGCTAGGCAGGCAGTCTACCACTTGAGCCACTCTGCCAGCCCTAGTTTTTTAATTGGCAGGAAAAATGGGTCTCAGAATGCCAGGAAAATGAAGTGAATTGTTGATTCTCACAGTGATGAACATTCCTTGGGGGCATTTGAAGAATGACTTTTTCTGTGTGTTTGACAGTTCAGGATGTTATTTGTTGCCTAACTTAACCCTACCATTATTTAGATTGAGTGGGTCAAGCCAACGCATAGTTTCATAGTTAAAAACCATGGTTTATTGTTTATAACCTCCTGTCCTGCACATACCACAACTGCAGTATGAAATATTGATTAAGTATGGGACTTTTTTTGGAGGACAAAAAGTATGTAATGAACAGAAGCCTGGCTTTTGAAGTACTCCATAGATCACAAAAAATGATTTCAATTGAACTGTTATGAATTGCATAATTTCGGAAAGTTATGAGTCATATGAGCTTAGTCATGATGATATCTTGTTGAAGTTGCAGCTGGGGTGTTTAAGTCTCACTTTGATTTCAAAATTGTTTCCCCTTTGTTACTTTTAATAAAAAAGGATGTAGTGGGTGGAAGGGAAAAAAGTATAGGTCACAGATGAGGGATGAACATTTGTATCTGATTCATATATTTTGAAATTCACCTTAAGGTTATTGGCATGGGAATTCTCCATATAACAGAGCTCATTTCTTTATTAACAGCATCATTTTACTCAATATTTTGACATCTGGTTTCCTCCTATATTAATTTTGCCTATAAACTTCATTCCTTTGAAATCTAAACACTTAACTAGCCTAACTATTCCAGGAGAGACTTAATGTAACTGCTTTGTACTAGTCAAAGAGATAAACTGTTTTTCTGGGATAGAATGAAGGGAAGAGTCAAGCAGAGAGCGTAAGCTGGGAAGCTGGAGAAATCCTTTTGGCCTTAACAGACTTTTTTCAGAATGTTAGGTACAGATGTCCTCCAAAGCCAAGTGTAGTTGATATTTATTTATTTATTTATTTATTTATTTATTTATTTATTTATATTCATTCATATGTGCATACATTGTTGGGCCATTTCTCCCCCCTGCCCCCCCCACCTCCCTCTCCCCCGCCACCTTGCTTCCAGGCAGAACATGTTCTGCCCTTTTGTATTTGTGAGAGATTGTAAGTATATGCCAATGGAAGTATAAATTGAAGAGAGTATGAAAAAGGTTGGTGGGGAAGAAAGGCTTCAGTGTGGTAGGGAAGTGAAATGAAAGGCTTTTCAAATCTCTTCACTTCGTCCTAAAATCAGCCAAGGAGATGGGTATCACTGTTCTGCTCCCACTTGCTCTTTTTTTTTTTTTTTAATTTCTTAACATGAATAGTAGACTCTGACAAGTTTCATCCACTGCCCTAGTTTCACTTGCCATTTGACTTTGTCCTCCTAACTGCTAAATACATATCTCTGACAGGCCTTGTTTTCTGATGCTCCACATTCTCACATTCAGCTGCTGTTATGTTTCCACCTCACTGTTCGTAGGCACTTCAAATATAACATGCCCAAAATTACCTGTCATCAATTCTTTTGATTAGAAGAATGAATATAGAAAACAATGTTTAGTTAGGACTAGGGAGGCGTGCTGGGAATTAGGGAAGTAGTCTCACTGCCCAGTGAATTTGTATCTGTATTGACTACAGAGCCTAATGAACCAATCCAGGTTTCTTCAGAGATTCTCTTGGACTCTGCTGACTCATTTGGGCTGAGCACTTCCCAGTTACTGGACTTGCTGGAAGTGCTCAGACTGGCCCAGGTTAAGTCCATCCTTAGTGAGGAGCTCTTGATAGGGAATTAGGTAGCTTATACTCCATCCTCCCTGACTGGTATAGTAATTCTATAAAATTACATTTTTGGTTCCCTGGCTTAGTAGAGAACACTGCTATCATTTTCTTACCTCTTAGACCCAAGAAGGGATTCACCCATGCCCAGCATTCATCTGGCAGTCTGGCCTGGTTGCTTTCCTCTCCTACTGTCTTTTTGGGGGAGTGCTGAAGAGCAAGTGTCAGGTGTCATATGTCTTCTGGACAGGCAGTATAAACAGCTTTACGGCAGTCATGGCTTTGTTTTTTCCTTTTCTTGAGACAGGGTCCTACTGTGTATAGCCCAAACTGGCCTCCAGCTTAAGATCCTCCTGTTTTAGCCTCCTGAGTGCTGGGATTACAGCTTTGCACCACCATATGGGTCTTCATCTTTCTGACATTAGAAGTAGGACTGATAGTGTCGTTTTGGAGAACCTTTTTGTATTTGATATAGCAGAGTAGTGGAGAGTGAGCAGAGTACCATGGGACTTCTATATTATGTTTGTAGGTTATGTTCTAGGAAAATGTAGTTTGCTGCAAACAATAAATAAATAAATAATAAGTGTAAAAAGCCCACAAATGTTTCTGGAC